AAACTGCAACAGTAAAAACAGTATTTATACTCACACGAAAACACTGTGGACTCGCATTTATGATAGGAGGCACAGCTGTGATTGGCCACGCTGGATCAATTGCATTTACACATACATCTATTGCATACAACTTCTCTGGAGGGAACACTTTATTCCAAGTTTTACGTAATGTGAACATCTGGGACCGTGTTTTCTTATCCGCCTACAGGAAGGAAGCACAATACATGAATCAGTCCCATAATATATGATATTTTCTTGATCACATCTACAATACTTGGCAGCAAGAATTATTAAAATGATGCATACCTCATGTTTTACATGACCAACAACCTCATTTAACAATTAGATACAACTTTAACTTAAATTAATTTCCCTTACAATAAAATGTTTCCCTTGTCACCAACTGACATGACCATGCTCACAAAAGGAAACAAATATTCATGTCTGTGGTAGCCAGATATCATATCCTCTGTAACAAGCTATTTCTAACATTAAGAGTAGCACAACAGAATGTATCCAAGTCATTTACCATCATGAACAGCTTTGTGCTCTTTGCATATGATGGCTATTTTTTTCAGAGTCAATAATGAAACACAGATAGATAACACTTTGCAGAATTTGGGGCAAAATATATATATATGTATACTTGAAACTGTAAGCTATCAAGGTCTCAAAACCTGGAGCTGGATAACATTACGGTCACAAAACAAAGTTCATGGATGGGCAGATTATTCATCAAAATCACACATCAGACAGACAAAAGTAAATCAGACTCAGCATTTCTATACACATTTACTCTCACATATATCAGCTGTTTCTGGGGGCATGCGGTAGCATAGTTGGTTGAGGAACTATGCTACAAGCCGGAAGGTCACAGGATTGAATCCCGATGAGGTCATTGGATTTTTTCAATTTACCTAATCCTTCCAGCCACACTATGGCCCTGGGAATGAATAAACCCCAAACTAGAGTCCCCCACCCCCCACAAATAATTTAAATATGTCATACCTTTTCAAAAACACCGCAGAAGGTTGAAACAATGTTC